AGATAGATAGATAGATAGATAGATAGATAGATAGATAGATAGAGATAGATACAGAGATAAAGGGATAGAAGAAGATAGTAGGGATAGATAAATACAGATAGATAGATGATAGATGATGATAGATAGATGGATAGAGAGAGGGAGAGAGTGATACAGAAATAAAGGGATAGATAGAAGATAAAAGATAGATAGATAGATTGATTGATAGATAGATAGATAGATAGATAGATAGATAGATAGATAGATAGAGGGGTGGGGAATGCCTACAAAGGCTAAAGTCAGGGTCAGGAGATCAGATTTGCCAGAAGAAGGAAATTCCCTGAGTCACAAGAGCCATTGTGTGTGTGCGACACAAACACACACACACACACACACAAACACACGGTCAGCAGGCCTCTTACAGCACACCCCGCACTATTAAGCACAGACCACAGGATGTCAATCTATCTTGGTAGATTTTATTTAAGCCCCAAATACATCACGCCATAAAGTTAATATTTTTGCCTGGGTTCCCGGCCCTTTTTTCAGCCCGTATATATTAACGTGACGTTCTGGATCGGGGGTTGGGGGTTGGGGGGGGGGAGGAAGCAGAGAGGAAGAGCTAGAATGTAGGAACAGCAGCCCCTCCCTCCGCCCAGGAAGCCACCTTTAATCTGTTTGCTTGACATGTTTTATTAAAAAGAATAAATTCACTTGCATTCAAAGGGAGAGGAAGAGAGAGAGAGGTGGGGAGGTAAGAGAGAGAAAGAGAGAAAAACTGCCTTTGTTTTCCGCAGCTATTTTTTTTTTTTTTAAACGATTTGCATATTTTGCGCGTAAATATTTTTATTTTGCGGGGGGGCGTAAATAAAGCCGGGGAGGAGGCCGAGCGCCCGTCGCTGCCGCCACGCCTGCTGCAGAAAATATATGAGAGACATTTATATGGATGGCAGGGAGGAGAGACGGAGAACTGAAGATGTCCAGGCTCCCCGTGATGGATGGCGCGAGAGGCTTCCCTTGACGCTTTATTGAGTTTGCGATGATTGTCTCTCCCGGAGACATTTTTTATGGATGACGGCCGAGCTGTCACGCCGGACCACGGGGGGGAAAAGCTACCTAACAATAATAACACTTTAATCTTTTTACCGCACCCGCTCCCTAGTATCTCAGATTCATCTTCTCTGACACCAGCCACTTGATTATCCGGGCCCCTCCCTGGATAGGCAAAGGAGGGAAATAAATAAGGGGAACGGCCTCTCTCTGTCTCCCCAACACCACCAGCACTCCAAAAAAAAAAGAAAAGAAAAGAGGGAAACGTACAAAAAGAAGAAATATCGCAGCCCAGGAAGAAGAAGGAGAAGAAAAAAAGCCCCCCGGAAGGTCCAGCCTATCAACTCTTGAGAGCTCCTTCTGTAGGTGCTGAGATTTATTTGCCTTAATGCCGGCTGGGAGGGACGCCGGCCATTAATTACAATAGTTTCGATTGGGCTGGGCACGTCCTTAACCAGCCGCCCACCCAGGAAGGGGAGGGGGCTGCCTGCTGCTTCTCAGGACCACCACCACCACCCCCTCTGCAGGAGCGGAGGTGGCCAGCTTCAGGGGCACACGGGCTCACTAACTGGCTCGAGCGGGAAGGGGAGGGGGTTGGACTAGAAGACCTCCAAGGTCCCTCCAAAGCCCGTCAGTCCATTGATTTCACTGTTTTTATGGCTGCCTGTCTCACGTGCACGACTCTGGGTGGCTGGCAGTTTAAAAACCGGACTAAAAACAGTAAATGTCCGTGGAGATTCTACATCTTCCAGGTCGTGGTTGTCCCAAAATTGGGGTGGTTTTGTTTTTCCCAAAAAAAAATTGGTTTTTCTTTCCTGGAAGACGTTTTCCTTCTCATCCAAGGAGCTTCTTTAGTCCGACAGAAGAAGCTTCTTGGATGAAAAGCAAAACGTCTTCAAGCTAAGAAAAACCCGAGGAAGTCCAGTTGCCTTTTGGGGGGGGAAAAAAAGCACCTTTGGGATTCTTAAAATGGTAAAAAGAAACTTAAATTCCTGGCATGGGTCCAAGGTACCCGAGGAACCATTTTTTCCCAACGGGACTGACCCACCCACCCGCTTTGACAGAAGGGCCATGCGGTGGACCCCGATGGCCAAAGAATTTGGGCCGGCAGGGTCCAGCGGGAGGCGGGTCTTAGTCTCAATTTTAGCCTGATGGAGCCAAGGCAACTACAGCTGGAGGAACTGGGGCAGGATTAAAGGTTTTGTAATACGGTTTTAATGTACTGTAAGCTGCCCGGATTTCACCTGACTGCAAGACGGGTGGCATGTAAATTTAATAAATAAGTAATAAAAACTCAAAGCAAGAGGAGTGATGTAAAATAACAAGTGCAGCCATGCCACCAGGAGTCACAGTGAGTGAGTTGAGCAGCCATGTTAAGTTAATAAATTAATTTTTTAAAACAATGTACATTGACTACTTGGAGCATTTCAAGAGAAAAGCAAGGTGTAAATCTAACAAATGAACAAGTGAAAACTGAGACAATAGATTGATCAAGCGTGGTGGGATGTTGTTCTTTCTTTCTTTCTTTCTTTCTTTCTTTCTTTCTTTCTTTCTTTC